ATAGAACACTTAATTAGCTAGAGCAGGTGATTAACTCCAAGAAAATAACAAGTTGATCCTGTGAGCCTAACCAAAGCTTGTACAGATTATACTTAGCATTTCAGGTCTTTAATTGAAGTAGAAAAAGAACAGGACTGGCTAGAAAAGCAAAAACATTGCATTTGGCATCATCAATAGTACCTTATAAATCTCAACTCTTTAAACTCAGAAACCTTAGAGGACCCCCAAATCGCTTTCTATCTTTTAGCTTCAAAACGAAGGGTCACATTTGAGAGCCTATTTTTGATGCAAGCAGATCTTTATGACTAAATTTCAAGCAGTTGCTCAGATAGAAATCACTCAGGAGAAAGCAGAACGCTACTGAAGTTATAAAAAAGAAATGTGTGTGGATGTGTGAAATGAAGTAGACAGCCACCTCGTCTGTCAGTTTCAGTCTGAGAGGGGCCCAACAATTTTATGAGTCATATGGAGAATAGTGCCCATTAGGATAATATATGAATAACCTATATTTCTAGGGGCATATTTTGTGTTTTATATAATAAGGCAGAACCAAGTAGGAAATTATTTGCTCAGTTTGCCTGAGACCAAAATACAGTAGGATTCATTTACCTGAGAGATGGCAATGTTAGCCTGAGAGAGTGGTACCCATTTGGCTCTGGGAAAGAGAGCTGTCAGAGACACTTGTATCTACACCCTTTGAGCAACAAATATTTATTACCATGACCATTTTGTGTTGCTTCATGAATTTTTTTTCTTAGCAGTACAAGTGAGAAGGGAGAAGTCCTTTTTTCCTCTCTCAAAGAGAGAAGTAAATAATTTAAAATGAGCCTGGAAAAAAGACTTCCAATTGTAAAGGAATTAAAGTTGGTCATGTCCTTTTCAGTCTTTCTTCCCATTTTATAAATGTCCTTGTATTCTTCTGTTAATTACTTGATTATAAAGTCTTTTAAAAAATCAAATACTTTACATGGCTAAGTAGTAAAGCTTAATTTAAAAGCATGAGACCATGACATAATTTTAACTTAAAATGAGCCTCCCAGGCTAAGCAAATTATACTTTTTTTCTGGGTCACAAACTATCGTATACTTTCATATTTAAAAACATTACTTCAGGCAACATCTAAAATTCTTTCATTTTCTCTCTCTTTCTCATAGCTATGTATCTAACTTCAGATTTTAAACTTTGCTCTTAAGAAATCCAATTTGAGGATGCTCTTTCTACTATCTGTATGTACGTGCCTCAAGGGTTCAGAGATGATATGAAGCACTAAATATTGAGAAACCACAGCTGGAGAAGTCTTCCCTCAGGACACAGTGACTCTTTATTCATATCTGTCCCTGCCCAATTCCAAGCATGGTGCCTTGTACATAATGCCAACCCAGTAAATATATGTTGAATAAAAAAATAGTAATTGGGGTGTATGCCATTTATTAGCTGTGTGGCTTTAGGGCATACACTTAACCTCTTTGGAATTCAATTTTGATTTGTATTTTTTAATCCATAAAATGATGATGTTTGGATTACATGCACTATTAAATTCCTCTAAGTTCCAACACTCTATAATCCCATAATAACTTGGCCATAACAAAAAGAAATGATGCTGAAGTGGCAAAACCAAACAAAAGCCTCAACTAGAAGGTTTCTTTAACGATTACATCTAGTCTCCCCAAGCATTAGTATATATACTCCTGGACCTTGGTGGACCACCACTCTAGTGAGCCCTCCATTCATGTAATTAGAGGAAAAATTCATATATTCAGATATCTTGAGATAGATTATCTTTGGTAATTCGTGAAATGAACATTTTGATTCATTTCAATAGGGAAAGTACCATCTTGGCAGATAAAGCTATTACTGTTCAGGTTAGCCTTAAATAACAGTCAAGAAATGAATAGACCTTTCCAACATGAATTTTTGTGTTTGCTAAATTACGCTGAACTAAATTCCACATAAAATCAGGCAGCGTGCTTCTGGTATCTACTTCCAGTCAACAACACTAATGTCCGTAATGTTTGGGGTTTTGTTGTTGTCATTTATGTTTGTTTAGACTTCCTTGTCATCAGTTAAAGGCATGAAATAAGTCGTATTACATTTTGCCTTCACATGGATATTTTGAAATTAATTAAAATAACATGATTGAAACAAGAACAACAATTAAAACCATCATTTTTTTTACTTCTTCCTCTCTGTGATGCTAAGCATAATAGATAGTACCTGTAATTCCTGTGCTAACCCTGAAAGGTAGGATAATTCTTCTTCCCATTTATTATAAAACTTTGAGTTTTCGAGAGCTTTGTCCATTCATAATCATACAATCAGTGTATTCCGGAGTCATGATTCGAACCAGGTCTGTCTGTAGGGTTCTAAACTCAGTGTACATTGCAACTTTATTAAAATGAAAATATTGTACTTTTTCACTACTTTCAGGAACTTTAGTATTTGGGGGACGGCTGACAGATGCCTTGTTTACTTCTGAGAACTCCATGGACAACTGGAGTTTAGGTTTGCCAACTAAGGGTTTAGAATTGTTGCCAACTAAGGGTTTAGAATTGTCGCCACACTTCTCAGAGGCTAAAGCAAGCAGCCAGAATTATAAAATTGTTTTGAAATCTTTATCCTTCCAATTATTTCACTATAAAGTAAAGGAAAAGCTAAGCTCATTGCTGTGAGCCACATTTATAAAGCCACAGAGGTATAATGAAATAGAGGAAAGAAATCAGTGTCCACAATTTTTAGCCTTGGGCTCGTGACACATAACTATCCCACACAATTTATACATAGCTGGGTGTTAATGGTCTCAAATTAATGCCAGGTAATTGAATCCCCAAATGACCGATTTTGAAGTTAGTATCTCAAAACATCTTAACCTTCAATAACTGTATTATAGAACTAAAGTTATACGATAAAACTGGTTTCCCCTCAAAAGATTTTAGTGTTTAATGCCACCACTTTCTGGGCTCGAGAGTTCTCAGGTTCGGTGACTCAGTCCTGTGTCGGCTGACCTTCAACCTTCTTAGCCGCCCTGGACTTATAATCACCATAGTGTCTACTGTGCAGAACCTCTCATCTTGGAAACACCGTGGCTACACTTCCTGTGTCTTGTTTTCACTTCTTTTTAATCGCGTGGTGAACCTCTTGAAGCAGGGCCATATGTGAGGAAGGAGACAGCTTTTGAGTGGGAGCTTTTTTCTGTTGCTTTAGATGGGAAGTTATACTAATATCAAAAGAGAGAAGAGAGGTTTTTATGGCTGAGAGAGGGCAATAGATTGTGAAAGCTAATTTGAAGTACTGCTGCTGATTAGGAACAAAATAAACCAAGCAGGACAGATATACTCTTTTCATTAGGTACTGGGGCTCTGTCAGAGAGTGAGTGCACCCAAAGTCTCCTTATAATAATTATGAGAGGACCGTGATTTTGTTCTCGGCTTTTAAGCTAAGCCTCTTCATGGCCTAAATCCATGCTGGCTTGATCTTTCTCTTTTCAGGACTCCCAGCTACGATACTCACAAATTATGTGGCTTCTCTCTTCAGTGTTCTCGAAAACTATTTGAGACTTCAATGTTGTGTCTCTCATTAGAGGGTTAGCTACACATATAAGATTTATATAATCTTTACCATTTTGAATTTAGTTCTTGGATTGTTGAGAACTGTCATTTTCAATTCATTTTTTTCAGACAGAATTCATTCAATTCCATTTCATTCACATTTCTGGTAGAGGATATTAGTACTATGAAACATATCAATGGCAACAATACTCAAGAACAATATATTTTTTTCTCATATCTTTTCTTTCCTGGTTTCTAGATAGTGAATTAATCTTACAAACTCAACCTAAACTCTCCAAATACTATTTTATTGACCAAAGACACATTAGGGCAGAATAATCTATAGTTAAGTCTTGGGCAAGAAGGAAGGCTGTCACCAATAGATTTCAATGTTTGAGGCATTTTGGTATTTAATGAAGCAATTGTGATTCATGGCGGCGGAGGGGGGGGATGAATGGTTCTTACCACATTAATTCTCCACTGGTGGAATAATTAGGAGGGGATTTCCTAAGGAGCGAAAGACAGTGCTTCCTGAAGGAGTTAGGAAATCCCCCAAGGGGTAACCAGGTACAAGAGTAAGAGCATACCTGACAAATTAGGCCAAAATAAGGATTTGCAGATTCTTGCTAATGGCTCACATAAGCAGCTCTGGTAAGCAGAATGTGGTAAGCATGCTCCTCAAAGATTCCCACGTCCTGGTGTCCTGGTTATTCAATCAAATGCTAATGGAGGTACTACTGTGAAGGGACTTTGCAGGTGGAATTAGTGTTACTAAATCAGTTGATCTAGAAATAACGAGATTATCCTAGAACTGGGTGGGCCCCAGGTGATCATATGAGCTTTTCAAAACAGAAGAGTCAGTGAGAGAAATGCTATGGAAGAGGAAGCAGGAGAAAAACAAGTGTGTAAAGGACTCGACCCACTGTTGCTGGCTTTGAAGCTGCAGGAAGTCGGCCCCCAGCCAAGGAATGTGGATTGCCTCTAAACCCTGAGAATGGCCCTCTGTTAATAGCCAGCAAGGACCAGATACCTCAGTATCTTGAACTATAGGTACTGCAGCTACATGGAACTGAGCTCGGCCAACGACCTGAGTGAGCTTGAAGCTGGGTCATCCCCAGATACCCTAGAAAGGAATACCGCCCTGCAATCATCAAGACCAGCTGTGCCTGGACTTCTGATCTACAGACTGTGAGGTCATAGACTGGTGTACTAAGCTGCTAAATTTGTGATTGTTACAGGAGCAACATAACATGAATACAGTGACTGACACAGGCTTTCTCACAGTGTTTCCCTTGGCTCTGTTTACTAAATAAACTGAAAGATTTGCTGCAGGGAGATCCTATCACAGGCAATAGAGCTAGAAGAAGAAGGATGCAAGGCTCCGTTAACTTCAGGCTGCGACAACACACCTGGAGGGGAAAACAAAACACACAAAAGCTCACCCAAGCAGTGAACTCCCTTAATATTCTAACCTTCTTCCATTGTTCCTTTTCTACTTCCTATTGGTAGCTCTAACTCGAATCCAGCATAGATCCTCTAAGATTCTCTCCACTTGAAGTGATGCAGGAGGGATGGTGTGGGCATAATGGCGAGAGACTAGAAAGGAATTATCAGGATTTGGGGAATAAGGTTTGAACTCCACACTCACAGCAACTGGACTCATCACCACCTCTCTCCCCCTGCCCCTGTCCAGGCTTAACCTGGTGAGGATAGCTTTGGAAATGAAGCAGGATGTTTGGACTGGAGGGACCACTAGTTGTTTACTTTTTCTCTACTACATTCAAGATGTACTTCCAGAGTACAGTGGCGGGGGGGTCACTAGAAGGCAAGAGTTTCTTACATAGTTCCTGCTGGAGTCCAAAAGAGCTGCAAATACTAATTGGTCTCAACCAGTGCTTCTCAAGTTTTGAAGTGCATGTGGATTGTGACTCCATTTCAATATCCAAACAATGTTTTATGTGAATGCAAAGGAAGGTTATATTTGGACACATAAAGATTCAGAAACACATCATTCATTCACCATGTACTCTAAAACAAAAAATATTGAGGAAGTGTTGCAATCAAATAATAAATGTGCCAGAATAAAGAGCTTAGAAGAAAAGGAAGCAGTAGTGAGCAATAAACACCTACAACTTACAGTTAAGTTTAATTATAGCTGATTTTGTACATGTAAGCTTAATGTGTTAAGAATGATTTCTAAAATAAAAGTCATAATGTAAAATGAATTAATAAAAACATACATCTAAAATTCCAGTTATTAAAATAAAAATCAAAACTTGAATTATGGGAAGGGGGCAGTAATTAAGAATTTGTGCTTAAATTCTTATAGCCTGGGAGATGAAAGTGTGTGGGTAACATTTAATTCCTTACGCTTATAGGGAAAATATCTTTTTAACTGTCCGTGAAAAAATATAAAATCATTAATAGTAGAGAAATAGCAACTTTTAAATCACATGAAAATAATGATGTTCATTCATTCATTCATTTATACAATAAATACTTATTGAGTACCCTGCATTCCATGTGCTATATCTTACAGTAAGGACATGCCCAGTTACTTGAGAGTATAACGGAAGCATATCCACAGTTTGGCTATTGTGGACATTGCTGCTATGAACATTGGACATTGCTGCCCCTATCTTCACAGAAGTTACTGTCTAATATGAATGAAGGCATGAATGAGTAGTTGATTTGGGTTATTGTTGGTTGCATTAGTCAGGTGCTAAAAAGATAAAAATAAGCTCAGAAAGAATTGGCCAGTTGGTATGTAGGATGAAAAATAACTGAGAGTTTAAGTTTGGACGCTTGTGAGCTAGAACTCCACCACTTATGAGATAAAGTTGTGAAGGTCTTTGAGGTGATAGTCTTGCAACAAGTATGAACTCAAGTGTATGTCTGTCACACCCACTGTCAACATCTGAGACTCAGAGCACTGTTCCAGTTAAGGTGTGGTACCCAATTCCTTTCAGTTAGACAAAATGTCTCTCCTGCCTAGACTGGATAGTCTAATATATCCCAGTTATGAGGGAGAGAAAGAGACAAGAGACCTGGGGGTGTAAGAAAGCAAAAGTAGCAAGTAGAAGTATATCTAGAAAAGAAATGCAGTTTTTGAAGAAGCTAACTAAGTTGTTGAGAGAACTGGACTGTCAAGTGGAACATCAGCAGAGATTGAAAGGGACAATGACAGTCTGCTTTAAATAAAGCAGTATGGCTGGACAGGCAGTGGCCATGTTCTGCAGTGCACACCCAGAATGAAGCTGAGAATAATATCAACGAAAGAACCTCTCAAAGGATGGAGCCAAGAATTTTGGAAACTATGGAAAAGAGCAAGTTACTTAGCCAGATCCAACTTCATAGAGACAGGGAAGGACAATCCTACAAGTTGCTTAAGAAGGGAACTGGAAATACATGGTAACTAGAAATAATGATTGCTGCATAGGAATGAACACTGTTTCCTCTGCTTTTGAGTGCTCTACCCTTCTCATTCAGATCTTAACTAGAATGTTCTATTCACTAAAAGCAGTTTTCTTCCTACATTTCTTTTTATTTTTTATTTATTTTTTTTTATTCTTATGTTAATCCCCACACAATACATCATTAGTTCTAGATGAAGTGTTCCATGATTCATTGTTTGTGCACAACACCCAGTGCTCCATGCAGAACGTGCCCTCCTCAATACCC